GAATTTTATACACTGATAAAAAAGATAGACTTGAACTAAAGTCGTCATCGTTCATGAAAAAAAAAAAATTAGTGGCAAGAGAATTTATTTTAGCGTAAAAGAAAATATTTTGCCTGAAGAAAAACTCTCTTAACTTAAGAAAACTGGTTCTCTTGAAAAATTCGAAAATTTCTCTTGAATGTATTTTCGTTCAACCAAGTGCAAGTTACTTTGTTTTAAGATAATAAGAAAAATACGGTAGGAAGTACTTCATTCAAGAAGCATGGCAATTTTTCCAATAGCTAAATACTCTTTTGATCAAAAATAACAACCACACCAGAAACGATGACGAAGGACGGTATATACAATCAGTCGGCAGTCCGATCAGTCGTACGTCGCATTTCATAGGTCGCACATCATAGTACGCAAGGGTTTTGTTGCTTGGAATTTTCCACTTGGAATTTTGCATAATTTGCTTTTTAAACGCATATCGTATAACAAATTAGTGATCGTTATTAACATGCATTTGTCATTTTTTATGGACAAATTTTAGGATATATGGATTCTTTAAAGGAGTTTCTGAAAAAATGGAAATTAGAAATTAGAGCATTTATTTGCTATATATGAAGGTAAGAGATATTTACCTAATGCACCTGTTTAAATAATGCATGCGTGACTATATATAGATAGAATAAGAATATAGGTATCGATTTTTTTATGCAAATAATTACAAAAAATTTAGAATTTCAAGTCGTCGTATTAAAAAATTCAAAATGTGACCAAAGCTTAAAATTTTAATAATTTATTTGCTTTACTTTGATTAATCGTGATGTAACATTTTTTTGTAATTTGTAGAGTGTTGAACCACCCCAAAAAATACCAAGGAGTGAAGAAACAGAAATATCTACTGTCGAAGAAAATAATATCACTTTACTTACTACAGACCAGGAAACCCTAAATTTATCAGAAAATAATATTATACCTCGTAATATGCCTGTATATGATATATAGACTTCTCTTACATCAACATAAATTTTAGTTGAGTCAATAGTATTCGCTATTGGTTTAAGAAAAGTGTCTCTTTAATCAAGAAATGTCCCTTTTCAATCAAGAATTTTTGCATGAATCAAAGAGACTATTGTTCTTGTAGCAAGAACTTCTTTTCATATTCATGTTGGGTCAAGAGTGAAATACTTTGGACAGATAGATTCTTCTATTCTCTAAAGTAATTTTTTAAAGCTTATAAAAAGATAGTTAATGCTTTGGGCAAAGAAACGTCGTTCTTGGCCCTATTGAAAAGCGCCAATCTTTTGGGTCAAAGTCATATTCATTTCGACTGAGAGATCCTTTTTTTCAGTGTACATGTTTTTTGCCCTAAGTCTTTTTATGTTGAACAGACCGCCGGCGCCGCGCCGGTATACCTATATCTAACACCCATTCCTCTTTCCTGCAGTTTGCTGTCCACTATAATAGAAAGTGCAGCCGTGAATTTGTTGAATAGGAGAGAAGCTAAGACGCATCCCTGCCTAACTCCTGTATTTGTCAGGAAGATATCTCTTGATGTGACTCTCTCGACTTGTTGGTATGGAGGCTTTTACACATTGCAAGAAATTTGTTGGGTACTCTGAACTTTTGCATAATTGCCTAAAGTGCATCTCTGTTTACAGAGCCGATGGCTTTTGTTAGACCGATGAATATATACCTCCGCTTTCTCATATGTTATCGAGGAGAGCCTTAAGTTGACCAATAAGTTCTTTACTTGCACACTTATAGATTTCCGCTGAATCGTGTCACAGCCAGTCGATTTGTTGTTTTTAAGTTGTTTTATGGAGGCCTATATTTCCTCTTCCATTATTAGGATTAAAAGAAAAAACACGTTACATCTACGTTTCTCGTTGGTATATTATAGGAATAAAATTTTGGAATTGCTGATGATTGTAGTGAGAATGTAGAATGAGAGGGAGGGGGGGGGGTAATTACTGCTACCTTAAAAATTTATTGTGTAAAGATCAATTGTACCTTCCTTGAATTATAACTCATCATACAGTCCATAACCTATCATACTTGAGGATTTTTCTGTTGTAGGAGGAACAGGGTATTTTTTCCTATCCTGCTCTAACAACAGATCTTCTTCCTCCGAAGGTATACACCCTCCCACGGCTGAGGTTTGGCCTTCTGTGCTCTTCACAGTCGAGGAGCTTGTCTCCGGCTGAGGTAGGTGCCTGAGAGGTGGAAGCTTGAAGATCTGTCTCCATTCCTCCACCTCTTTAACTGCAGCCTTATACTTTGCAGCCTTAAATTGACGTTTTGATAAAGCGTCTTATCTGGGGGTTGTCGCGAGAATATATTTTTTCTATGGTTCTGCACCTCAAAACTAATTATCCACGCGCCATCACTGCTAAGTGACGGCCATTAGTCTATCCATTTAAGACATAATGAATTGGTGAAATTGGATTAATTTTGATCAAATGGCTTTTATTTTTTAGAACTTTTAGAATTTTTATCTTCCTTTTTATGCATTAAGTCAGTTTGCACGACGTACTTATTCAATACGAAATCTTAGAATGTTAAGTTTTTCTCTAAAAAAATAATAACCCGTCCATTAGAAAAAATAACAGAACACGGAAGAAGCAGATATACAGCTAATCAATTTTTTAGAAAAAATAAAATATTAAGCTGTTTATGGGGCACAAGCTTTACACTCATTTGTATTACTAAATCGTAGTTGGTATGTAAACTACTAGTTGACTTAACCAGTTATCATAGAATTTTGTAAATAATGAATGCTGTATCGACCGCCGGCCGCGCCGTTCCTTGACGCTTATGCAGATGCTTCAGACATTTCCTGGATAAAAAAGAAATTCATTCTAATCCCGTAAGTATGAAACTAGCAGGTTTATACCATGCAAGTGTATTAAGGTAAATTGATAATCGTGCAATGGAGAGCAAAGTAATTTTCGTAAAATACAGTTCTGATGGCTGCCGTTTTAAGTGGAAACCTGACTAGAACATGTAAGAGGTGAGAAACGATAACTATGAAACGAAAATGTTTTCGAAGTTTTTGTGATGAAGCGAGAGCTTATTATCTTAGATAGTTATTTTACAGTCCTTATTTGTGTTCATTCCCCATTTGTGTTTCTCTTGTTTATTTGAATCTTCTCTTAAACACATATTTATTACTAGTTGATCCGACCAACTTTGTACTGCCTAACTGAATTGAGAGTGAGAGAGTTTCTTGAGCGAATTGAGAGTTTTTTTATCAATCTTGTGGCACGGACAACTGATAGACTAAAAGATCTGTAATTATCTCATACTTTTTCACGTTAGACGTTTATAGAGAACCGGTGCGGGGTGATAGAATTTTTTGGAAAATTTGGATTTTTACATAAAATGACCTGCTCCATTTATCTAAAATATTTATTTATATACAATATTATTACGTTGCAATGTTGCCGCATCATTTGAAATATGGTAGCATCGTTCTTATTTTTATTTATTATTTTTATTTATTATCCCTCAGGGTTCAGTACTTGGCCCTATTTTATTTCTGGTGTTTATCAACGACATTGCAAATCTAGACATTAGTGGTAAAATCTGCCTCTTTGCGGACGATACTAGTTTCACTTGGAGCGGCCCAGATGTTACGGCACTATGTAATACTATATCCAGTGACTTACCATTAAATATTGGTGCGATTCTAATCTCCTATGCCTCAACCTTTCAAAAACTAAAGTTTTGTCATATAAAAGTACTATACAACCTTTTGTACTTAATAACACCACTATTGACGTCGTGAACTCTGTGAGATTCTTAGGACTTGTTGTAGACAACTCGTTAAAATGGGACTTGCACATCGAAGCATTATCAAAGAAACTAAGCTCTGCCTGTTTTGCGCTAAGATCAGTTTCTAAGGAACTTAACTCGTCAACCTCTAGAATGGTCTATTATGCCCTTTTTGAGTCGCATCTTCGTTATGGCCTTCCATTCTGGGGTACTTTCTGCGCGACAAAATTTGATCGTATTTTCAAACTTCAAAAGAGAGCAGTTCGATACTTATTGGGACTAAACAGTAGGACTCACTGCCAGAATTTCTTTAAAAATTTCAAAATACTGACTCTTCCTTCCTTATTCATTTTTGAATCCGTTTGCTTAATCCGCAAGCACATATTCTCTATTCCGGAAAGGCCACTTAGGAATGCGGAGCACGATATTTATCTGCCAACCCCGAGATAAGAACTAGTTAAGGACTCAATACTGTACAATGCCAAGAAAATGTACAATCATTTGCCTTCGAATATCAAGTCTCTTTCATTCTTTCCCGCATTTCGCAAAGCTCTGAAATTATACTTACTGGAGAGCACACCTATATGCGGTAAACGACTTTTTTGTTGTTGTTTAATCATGAACAATTTTGAATTTTAAAATTTTGATCATCTCACACACTGGTTAAAGGTCTAGTATTTAATATTTAATATTTTATAACTCTCGATTTAATGATATATAACATGATTTTATCCATTTACAGTTTTTCTTTTGTAAAATTTTCTAGATACGCCTGTGTTCTGCAATGTCCATATATGTTTTATTTGTAATTTTATGAGGTAAATTTTTTTGAATTGATTTGAATTTTGTTTTATTATTTGTATATTTGTTTTTGTGCTTTTTTGTTTTGTGAATGCTTTGTCGATGAAGCTGTTTTGGCTTTTTGTACAATAAAGCGTTGTTTTTTTTTTATTTTAAATGGAACACCCAGTATATTATATTTTTGGAAACTACTTTCATATTTCATACCTTTTATATCATACTAACCTATACCTATCTCTAACATTTTTTGAGGTAATAAATAAAACATATGTAAAATTGACAAAAACATGATCTTACATCAATTACAGGATGGTACTAAGAGACCTAGAGGAAGACCGAACCTTGAGATGGGACCATGATATTAGGAAATTAACAGGTATAACTTGGACCCGCATAGCCAACAATAGTCAACAAAGGGCCATCTGCCATATATTCCGTTATTCCATTTCTCTTGCCACTGTTTGAGAAGTTTTGTCCTTGCCAGATTTTTTATCCATCCCATGGTATCTATCATATCGTTCCTGTATGAGCAGATCAATAGGAGCTATTTCAGCTATAACTCCTATAGCATCTCCAGATACAGTTTTATATGTGCTGCATACCCTAATAGACATAATGCGTTGTATTCTGCGTAGTCTTTGCATTAGATTGCGACCGTTTGTGACTTTATGCCATACCGGTGCAGCATACAACAGCTGCGAGTGTACAACACTAGCAAGTACTCTTCTTTTGGATGCTCTAGCACCTCCTACATTTGGCATGACTAAGGCTAAAGCGGTGACAGTTTTCTCGGCCTTGGTAATGGTTTTATTAATATGGTCCGCAAAATTCAATTTGGTATCCAGCCACATTCCTAAGTATTTTAAAGAATTACTTGGGTAAATTACAGTTCCTTTTATATAAAACTGCACCGGGGATATTTTTCTTTTTCTGGTTTAAGCTACGGTTAACATATTCTTCTCCATCCAGTTTACAACTCTTTGGATAGCCAATTTGACGGTGTTCATCAGTACATCTTCATTCTTTGCACCTAATACAATGGCAAGGTCATCTGCAAAGGCAACTAAAGTTGGTTATCTGGCATTTCTATCCTCAGTAGTGCATCATAGAGTACGTTCCAGAGCATAGATCCCTGTGGTACACCGCTATTTACCACCACAGTTTTTTTGGCGGATCGACTAACAGGTTAATACCCGACATACAACTATGGTTAAACAGACAATATGGAGAAGTCGATTACTTCATGCATGAGTCAAGCATTGTCTGGCCATGGGTGTTTTAGAATATATTTATGCGATCGTCGTAGGGTTGATAGTGCATCATGCATCTACTGTGGTCAAGATGATGTTCAACATACACTATTTGCGTGTGAACGATGGCAGGTCCTTAGGGAATAATTCCGTACAGAAACCGGCAGACACTTTGACTTACCCGCATTTATGATGTACCTAGTTAAAGGGGAAGTACAATGGAAGCTAGTATATCGGATAGTCCGAAATATAATAAGTTGTAAAGAGATGGAAGGGAGACAACGAGCATCATAAATCTATAGACACTCTTTGCACTGAAGCAATGCGAGAGCGGATTCCAGTGTAAAGTGTTACTTGGAGGAGGGTTTTTTTAGCCGGTAAGAATCCGGCACTACCTAACTGTGGGTGTTATGCAAGATTTATTCCCTCCTCACCGAAAAAAAAGACAACAATGAGCCCAACTACAAAGAGAGTATCTGAGAGTTGCTCCACCATAATTGGAAATGGTTGAATAAGCTGAAATTGATGATGATGATGTTGATGATTTAATAGTTATTCTGTTATTCGAGACGGAGACGAATGCAACACATCAGATTATCGGCACTATATAACTCGACTTAGTTATATTTTTAAAATATTATTTAAAAGCAATAAAAACTTTTTATTGCTTTTGATTTGTAATTGTTTATTAATTAAAATTACAAATAAAGTAATGTCTGTCCAGAATATTTTTTTATTGTGTATGATTTTCCCCAATTCTTGTCCTATTTTATTAAAAAAATATCTATACCTGAAACTAATAGAACCTCTACACCCATATAATACAACACAATCCTATAGATATCTTGAGGATATCCACCAAGGATATAGTAAATATCTTAGGGATATCCAAACACTAGAGGAGGATATTTATGGGATATCCAGATGGGACAAAAAAGTCATCTTCAAGACATCCCTAGGCAACCCTTTTACGATTATTTGGGATATTTCTAGGATAATACAAGGATGATGTTGGGAGCATTATAGAATATTTTTAGGAAATTATATGAGGACTGTTATTTGACAATACTTACTTCATCCTTAGTTTATAGTAAAAACGTTCGCGATTTAGTTTTATTTGGCCACATTTTGACGTTATTCATTGGATATTTTTATTAACAGCTCTAAAATATACCTAAATATTATGTCAATGAATTTTGCGTCAAAATTCGGAAGCTTATTTGTATGAGTTAAGAGCTTTCAATTTATACTGTACCATCGAAAAAAAACGGCGTTCAATTGGCTTGAAAATTAGGATCGATGACATTCCCAATATAATTTTACATACAAAATAACAGCAATCTTCATTTCCAAGCCACCTCTGACGCCGTTTTTTTCGATGGTATAGTATTATACCAGATTATACTACCCTTTATGGAGCCTAGCAGTTTATGTCTAGCAGCAACAGTTTACATCAAAGTTAGCACACAGGATACAGGTATAATTTCTAACACCACACATTCCAGAAACTCACAATTTAAACACAAAAATAGGATTTCTGTTTGAATAGATCAAACACGAAAATGGGTTTAGGGATAAAGAACAAGCGCTTTTCAACAAATTTTCACCTATAATTTTGTCACAAATTTTTCATTGTGTGACCCTGAGTCCTTCGTCGTTTTTCGACATTAGTTGAGGTTAGGATAGAATTTCTGCTAGAACAAGGCTCGAACTATGAGTATAAGAAAAAACTAAGTCAAACTCAACCAGTTTTGTTAGTTTCAGTCATTTTTAAGCCCATTCAATATCGACAAACGACCGAATTCACCTCGAATTTCACTAAATCAAAGAACTGAATAATACACGATGCAAAAACAAACAACTGTCGAGATGGATTATGGGAAATTTTTTGCGCGGGCGTTTTAAATTCTCTGTATTACTGGGAGTGGCCAAGCTCATAAATATCCAGACTATCCAGAAGATACCAACAGGATATTTTGTTGTCTTGACGTAATATATATCTATCTGTATGGCTTATTGCATTTTATGTAATATAAAAAGTAGTACATTCTTTATTTTTCCTAAATATCTAGACGATATTGCTAGGATATTTGATTATCATGAGCATGTTTGTATATCTCAGCTGGATGTACATTAGATATACGACAGAGATATCCATAGGATATTCTATTCTGAGACATCTACAGGATTTCAGGATGTCTGGAGGATATCCTATAGATGTCTTTATAAGATGACCTTATAATGGGACATTCCGACATTCTATGAATATCCTGCGGATATTGTGTGTTATATGGGCAGGTAATTTTATAATTATCTAATTTTAACCAAACCTAGCAGACCATTTTTCTTCTTTAATTTTAACTTTACTCTGAAGCTCAATAGATATTTTTTGTGTGACGCCTTTTGTCAATAATTATACAGGCTGTCCCAGAATAATAAGTACTATAAGTGCAAGTATTTTAAGGGGAGGTAAATCTGGTCAAAAGAAACATTTTCACTCTTTACCGTTTTTCAAATAAGTCCAAAATAACTAATTTTTTTCAAAAAATTCCAGATTTTCATAATTTTTTTTTCGCAAAAAAAACATCATAGGCATGTTTCTGAGACCAAAATATATTACGAGTTAAAATACTTGCTGTTTTTTCTGGGGCACCCTGTATATAAATCTTGTTAGCTATAGGAGTAATTTATGAACTGAACATTTTAAACTAATATAATGTTGCGGACATACATACAATTGCTGACTCGTCCTGTACATGATGCTCTATCCTTTCATATTTAGAATTTGCTTATTGATGTCCCTTTGTGGTTGAACAAGGCATCTATAGCTAACATGTATTAAAAGCGGTATGGGGTAAATTACATATATGATTGAGTATCAAACCGAAACTGTCTAATAATGCATCGAGTTCTGGTTGTGACTAACAATATGGTTATGTCGCAGATCAATCGGTTGTCCACCTGATCAATTAATACACTTTTATTAAAATTGTACAAATTGAAACTTTGTAAACTTTAAGGTATATCAGTTTAAAATTCGAGATATTATACAGTTCTAGACCATTATTTCTGTGTGTTACTATTCTATTATATCTTCTATCTAATTTCCTTTTAATTTAATTTTTATGACCTATATGCATTTTTTTTCATAACAAGGGGTCTTCTGCCGGAAACACTGCGACCTGTGAGGCCTATTGTGTTTGTCCCCCTTCTATATCTGCACCCATTCTCCTATCCCTGTGCCCTGCACTAGCTTATGCAGGTCCTTGATAGGATGGGAACATAGTTCCTCTGGTTCTAGCCTAGCTTTCCCAAATAAAGAGTGTCGCTTGCGATCCAGAGCCTTGCAATGACATATTATGTGCTCCGCTGTTTCAGGATCTTTATCGCAGAGTCTGCAGCAAATACTTCCTTGATACAGGTTGAGCTTGTTCAGATAACACTAGACAGCCATGTGTCCTGTCAAGAGGCCTGTTGTAATCCGCACTTTATTCCTGCTTAGCATTAGCAGTTCTTTTGCGGTTTTTGAGCTAGGTCCTTGGATAAAAGCCTTGCTGTGCCTGTGCCCCTGTCTGTTTCTCCAGTGGACATTGTGCTTTTCCTTGATCCAGAGTTTTAGTGCACTACGGGCCATACATTTTGGTATTCCCAGTACTGGCTCTGGACCAAGAGAGGATGCCGATGATCTCTGCCTAACTAGCTCATCGGCTTTTTCGTTGCCTTGGATGCCGCTGTGGCCCGGCACCCAGAATAATTTAATTCTGTTCCTTCGTGCCAGAGCTTCCAGTTCACCCAGGCATTCCCAGACGAGTCTCGACGATACCTTTGGGTTCACAAGCGCCCCAAGTGCCGCCTGACTGTCTGAGCATATATTGATGAGCTTACCTGAATAAGCTCTTCTATTGTTTTCTCTTGCACATTGTAGAATGGCGAAGATTTCTGTCTGGAATACGGTTAAGTGTTTACCCAAGGAAAAGGATAAGCTTGCCCTTGGTCTTTCCCCAAATACTCCAGCTCCTGTTCCTCCAGCGGTCTTTGACCCGTCTGTATACCAGGTTAGTCCATCCTGAAGGAATGTTATATCTGTCCACATTCCTCGATCCATTTTGTTCACCTCGAATGGTTTGTGGTAGTGATAAAGAGGGGTCATTTGGTCCGATCTCATTTGGAGTAGAGATCCTCCGATAGAATCTCCCATCTTTAAGTGTCCTGTTTCTGTCCTATTTGCCGGAGACAAGACACTTTGTTGTCGATAGAGTCCCATTCTTGCCTCCGCCTGGATCACTATGTGAACAGGCGGAAGGTCCAGAAGCGCCTCCATTGACGCAGTGGGCGTTGATTTCATTGCCCCTGTTATGTCCAGACAAACAAGTCTTTGCACCTTACTAAGGCTGAGCATTGTTGTTTGTTGCATTACCTTAGGCCATATGCATAGATATGCATTACCTTAGACCTATATGCATGCGAAACCGGGACACTTAAAATGGACATTATAAGGAAACTGCACGAAACTCAAGAGAGCTAGAAGAAGCCCAAACCTTGGATGGAATCAAGATCTTAGAAAATTAGCAGGGATAGCTTAGGTCCGCATAGCCAACAGTAGAAAACAATGGGCCCAACTATAATGAGAAAAGTGTATCTAAATCTGTGAGGAAGGCTATACCATAATTAGAAATTATTGAATAAGATGAAAATGATGATGATGATGAATGTTGGTGACCATCAATAAAATAAATGTGAACAATAATTTAAAAGGAGATTCCAACACAAACTTATAAATGCAGATTTTCTGATGTTGGGGTTTTATGATAATGATGTTTCCGCGGCCGTACCATTGGTTGATCAATATCAATTAAGCTGAAATATACATTATGCTATGAAATTTGATAACGTAAATACAATTCTTAAATAATAGAACCGAAAGCGAACATACCTGTGTTACTTCTGTATGAACGATCAAGTGAACTTATGAAAAAAAGCCGTAGCGGACAAACGGTCGGCCTGATTACTTCAATTAATCCAAGTACGTCTTTTGTAGAGTCGCTAATACTGCATGGCGCTACTTGATCCCCCGTACAAGACCGTGTTGTTTCTGATTCCCTTATAATTACGGCTCAACGTTGGCCCTCTCTCTCGTTGGCAGTGATCTGCATCCGTCCGTCTCTCTCTGCGTCCCGATGCCAGGGAGCCAGCGTTCAGTCGTTTTCTGGCGCTCGCGTGAGACGCACTCACCGTTTCAGGCTTTCAGTCGATGTCGAGTCGTGTCGCAGGCAAGGTCTCGTCGACGCTCGCGGTGGCGCGGTCCTGAAATTTTCGCGTATCTACCGACGGTCGTGGCAGCAGCACTGCGGGTAATTTCCTGCAACGTCCGATCCCCTAATTGCCATTTCGAAGCTTTTTGGATAGTTCGCCCCTTTTTGTGTGCCGAGCCTAGTGAATGCATATACTGTTTGGTGTTCTGTGACTATCTGGGCTAAATTATTATTTAGGCCTGAAAACCTGTGATATTGTTGTTTTGAATATTGGTGGTGTGTTTTAGGATATCGTGAAATTTTAGACGTGGTCTAACAGTTTGCGTGTTGAATATATAGAGGATGTACAGTGTTGACTTGTTGAAGTGCTATTGATTTCGCAGGATTATTTTAGTTTAATACATCAGATAAAAAAATGTAAGTCTACAGTTTATTATGTTGCTTCTTTAGTTTAGACGATTCCTCTTCGCTATACTGATGACAGATTCTCAATTTTCTGTCGCCAAAAAAATTTGGTGATTTTTTCATCAGGAAAAAAATTAAAATCATTTAATATAAACATGCGTAAACATACATTCCCTCAAAACATATGAATATCATTACTCTGTCCCTTTAAATCATCATTTTTTTTTTAATTTTCCCTTCATCTTTGAAGATTGATCTAGGAAATACATGGTAACTACCAACTAGTTTTATAATCTTAATTCAATTCAGTATTTTTCTTTTCGTGTTCAGTTTTGCATTTATACTGCATTTAGTAACATTTTTAGATGATCAACATTTAGCAGCATTAAAGTTTCCATTTTTCAAATATTTTTTTGGATTGAAACAGAAAAATATTTTTGTTTTTTATAACTTCAGTATCATTTTTTAGTACTTCCATGACTTTTAATATTTTCTTTAAAAATTGGAATTGTTTTATCATCAGAAAAAAATTTAAACACTTTAATATAAAAATCCGTCAACATATGAACATTCTCCAAAATTATGTGAATCTCATTGCTCCGTCCTTTTAAATCATCATTTTTTAAAATTTCCTCTTCAGCTTTGAAGATTTGTCTAAGAAATACATTGGAACTACCAACCAGCTTTATAATCTTAACTGAATTAAATCTATTCCGATATTTTCAATATTTTTCTTTTCGCGTTCAGTTTTGCATTGATACTGTATTCAGTAAGATTTTTAGGTGATCAAAATTTAGTAGCATTAAAGTTTTCTAATGGTTCATTTTTCAAATATTTTTTGCATTGAAACAGAAAAATATTTTTGTTTTTTTAACAATATCATTTTTTATTAGTTTTATGACTTTTAATATTTTCGGTGCTTCATTTTCACCACGTTGGTTGATAATGAATGGTTGAGACTAGAAAATGTGTGTTACATATTATTTCTAAACCGTTTTTTGGAAAATAAATAATTTTAATTTATACAATTAATAATATTTTAACTAATCACATCTGATACCTTATTCCATACCAAGGATTAATACAGTATCAAAATATGACAACAGACTTATACCTACATATCTAAACTCTTATTGAAATGAAAATTTAACACTTTTGGAAGTGAGTTAATCCATTTTTAACTTTAATATCCCTATTTAAAGAATTTTAAAATGTGTGCTTGATTGAAAAAGAAAATATTTGATCAGAAACTCTATTTGACATTTTAAATTTAGAAAATCTTATTCATTATTTAATTTTGAAAAAATACGAAACTACAACAGTTATGATGCTTTAAATATGTGGGTTTAAAATTTAATAAATCAAACTTTTTCGTTAAAACTTAAAGCTTTTATATTAAAATAACTATTAATTGTCATTTCTAAGCATTTTAATTGTGCTTCCCTTTTTGTGTGCCGAGCATAGTGAATGCAAATACTATTTGGTGTTCTGTGACTATCTGGACTAAATTATTATTTAGGCCTGAAAACCTGTGATTTTGTTGTTTTTAATATTGGTGGTGTGTTTTAGGATATCGTGAAATTTTAGATGAGGTTTAACAGTTTGCGTGTTGAATATATAGAGGATGTACAGTGTTGACTTGTTGAAGTGCTATTGATTTCGCAGGATTATTGTAGTTTAATACATCACATAAAAAATGTAAGTCTGCAGTTTATTATGTTGCTTCTTTAGTTTAGACGATTCTTCTTCGCTATACTGATGACAGATTCTCAATTTTCTGTCGCCAAAAAAATTTGGTGACTTTTTCATCGGGAAAAAAATTAAAATCATTTAATATAAACATGCGTAAACATACGTTCCCCAAAAACATATGAATATCATTACTCTGTCCCTTTAAATCATCATTTTTTTTTAATTTTCCCTTCATCTTTGAATTTTATCAAAGAAATACATGGTAACTACCAACTAGTTTTATAATCTTAATTCAATTCAGTATTTTTCTTTTCGTGTTCAGTTTTGCATTTATACTGCATTTAGTAACATTTTTAGATGATCAAAATTTAGCAGCATTAAAGTTTCCCTTTTTCAAATATTTTTTTGGATTGAAACAGAAAAATATTTTTGTTTTTTATAACTTCAGTATCATTTTTTAGTAATTGTTTTATCATCAGAAAAAAATTTAAACACTTTAATATAAAAATCCGTCAACATATGAACATTCTCCAAAAATATGTGAATCTCATTGCTCCGTCCTTTTAAATCATCATTTTTTAAAATTTCCTCTTCAGCTTTGAAGATTTGTCTAAGAAATACATTGTAACTACCAACCAGCTTTATAATCTTAACTGAATTAAATCAATTCCTAAATTTTCAATATTTTTCTTTTCGTGTTCAGTTTTGCATTGATTATGTATTTAGTAACATTTTTAGATGATCAAAATTTAGTAGCATTAAAGTTTTCTAATGGTTCATTTTTCAAATATTTTTTGCATTGAAACAGAAAAATATTTTTGTTTTTTAACTTCAATATCATTTTTTATTACTTTTATGACTTTTAATATTTTCGGTGCTTCATTTTCACCACGTTGGTTGATGAATGGTTGAGACTAGAAAATTTTACATATTATTTCTAAACCGTTTTTTGGAAAATAAATAATTTTAATTAATACAATTAATAATATTTTAACTAATCACATCTAATATTTTATTCCATACCAAGGATTAATACATTATCAAAATATGACAACAGACTTATACCTACATATCTAAACTCTTATTGAAATGAAAATTTAACACTTTTTGAAGTGAGTTAATCCATTTTTAACTTTAATATCCCTATTTAAAGAATTTTAAAATGTGTGCTTGATTGAAAAAAAAAATATTTGATCAGGAATTCTATTTGACATTTTAAATTTAGAAAATCTTATTCGTTATTTAATTTTGAAAAAATACGAAACTACAACAGTTATGATGCTTTAAATATATGGGTTTAAAATTTAATAAATCAAACTTCTTCGTTAAAATTTAAAGCTTTTATATTAAAATAACTATTAATTGTCATTTCTAAGCATTTGTGTGCCGAGCCTAGTGAATGCATATACTGTTTGGTGTTCTGTGACTATCTGGGCTAAATTATTATTTAGGCCTGAAAACCTGTGATATTGTTGTTTTGAATATTGGTGGTGTGTTTTAGGATATCGTGAAATTTTAGACGAGGTTTAACAGTTTGCGTGTTGAATATATAGAGGATGTACAGTGTTGACTTGTTGAAGTGCTATTGATTTCGCAGGATTATTTTAGTTTAATACATCACATAAAAAATGTAAGTCTGCAGTTTATTATGTTGCTTCTTTAGTTTAGACGATTCTTCTTCACTATGTTGATGGCAGATTCTCAATTTTCTATCGCCAAAAAAATTTGGTGATTTTTTCATCAGGAAAAAAAATAAAATCATTTAATATAAACATGCTTAAACATACTTTCCCCATAAACATATGATTATCATTAGTCTGTCCTTTTAAATCATCATTTTTTATAATTTTCCCTTCATCTTTGAAAATTGATCTGGGAAATACATGGTAACTACCAACTAACTTTATAATCTTAACTGAATTAAATCAATTCCTATATTTTCAATATTTTTATTTTCTTGTTCAGTTTTGCATTGGTACTGCATTTAGTAAGATTTTTAGATGATCAAAATTTAGCACTTTTCCAAATATTTATTGGATTGAAACAGAAAAATATTTTTGTTCTTTATAACTTTAATATAATTTTTATTACTTCTACGACCTTTAATATTTCCTGTGCTTCATATTTTCACCAAGTTATTTAATACTGAGAAATAATTTTTTTTCAATACATGAAAATGTTACATATAGGTATTAATTCGAAACCGTTTTTTGGAAAACAAAACATTTTGATTTATACAATTAATTATGTTTTAACAAATCACATCTAGTACCTTATTCCATACCAAGGATTAATACATTATCAAAATATGAAAACAGATTTGTACCTACATATCTAAACTCCCATTAAAATGAAAATTTGACACTATTAGAAGTGAGTTAATCCATTTTGAACTTTAATCTTCCTTTTTTAAAGAATTTTATAATGTGGGCTTAATTGAAGAAAGTTATTTATCAGGAACTTTATTTGACATTTTAAATTTAGAAAATTTGATTCATCATTTAATTTCGGAAAAGTATTATTAACTATCTATTAATCATCAAATAAAAAATGTAAGTCCACAACGTAATAAGTTGATTTTAGTTTATACGATTTCTTCCTCACTATATTGATAACAGATGCTCAATTTTCTATTGCTCAAAAATTGGTTGTTTTATCATCAGAAAACAAATTAAACACTTTAATATAAAAATACGTCAACATACATTCTCCAAAAACATGCGAATCTCATTGTTCTGTCCTTTTAAATCGCCATTTTTTCAAATTTCCTCTTCAGCTTTGAAGATCGGTCTAAGAAATACATGGTAACTAGCAGCTAGCTTTATACTCTTAACTGAATTATTCTAGTTCTTGTATTTTCAATATTTTTCTTTTCGTGTCTTGTTTTGTATTTGTACTATTTGTCCGCATTCAGTAAGATTTTTCGGATGATTAGATATTAGCAACTTTAAAGTTTTCCCATGATTTACTTTTCAAATATTTTTTGGATTGAAAAATATTTTTGTTTTTATAACTTCAATATCATTTTGTATTACTTCTATATCTTTTAATATTTTCGGTGCTTCATTTTTACCACGTTATTTAATACTAGACAATGTTGCATATTATTTTGAAAGCGTTTTTTGGAAAATAAAAAAAATTGATTTATACAATAATGTTTTAACTAATCACATCTAATACCTTATTCCATACCAAGGATTAATACATTATCAAAATATAAAAACAGACTTGGATCCTACATAATATTTTGTAAATTCATATTAAAAAGAAAATTTCATATTTTTAGAAGTGAATTAATCCATTTTTAACTTAATAATTAT